CTGGATCAGTTGCCTCCTGCTCTGATTCTGACTGAGGCTGGGGATCAAACCTGTAACCCAGGTACCTGCCCTTGACTGGGAATGGAACCCATGATCCTTCGGTGCATGGGCCGACCCTCTAACCACTGAACACACCAGCCAGGGCCCATATATTTATTTATTTATTTTGTGTGTGTGTGTGAATATTTGTGTGTGCATGTGTGTTTTTCTGTGGCTATTTAAAGAATACCAAACTAAAAAAAGAAAAGAAAGTAAAGAATACTGAACTGAGACTTCCTGAATAGTCCACATTGTGTAACCATCCTTTGAGGTCAAGTTCCCCAAATAGGTTTGTTGTTTTGAATGTGATTCACATCTTATATTTGGACACATGTTACAAACTGCTCTCCAGAAATTCTGCACAACTGCCAACTTCTTACTTTTTTAAAAAATGTAGTTTTGAAAGTCACAGAGATAGAAGAAGTGAGTGGGAGAAGGAGTGGGCTCAGGAAACACGTGATAGAGGCAAAAGAAGAGAGAGAAGGGTAAAGGAGCTTGCCAAGGAGGAAGAAGAGGGGAAGGGAAAGGCAGGGGCGTGTTCCCGGAAGGGAGAGCAGCAACTTCTTCCTCTGACTCAACCACAGAGCGGGTCAGCTGCTGCAGCCTCTGGGTAGCTCTAAAATCTGCTCTTTCCTTCCACACCCACAGCCTCACTTGAGCTCAGACCTGACCTTCTCTGATATGGCTTTTTTCACTAGCCTGCAAATGGTCTCGCCTCTCCTCAGGTCCCTTTCAGTCCCGTCTCCACTGTGGCCTCCAGGGAGATCTGTCTCAGACACCATTCGGGTGCATCACTGCTCCATTCAACACTCCACCTTCATTCCAGCCCCTCCCCCTTTTCTTTTTCCCTCATTTAATTTAATTTTTTTTTAATTTTTAAACTTTTGGAGCAGGGCCCGGACCTTTTCGCATGTCTGAACTTCCTACCTGTCTCTATGTGGCCCCTTCTGTAAATCCTTGGCTCTAAGATTCTGCCTCAGCTAGTCTTCAGTTGGTTATTCAGGGTGGCCTTCCTTAATTAATTAAAAATATGTTTCTTGTTGATTTCAGAGAGGAAGGGAAAGGGATAAAGAGAAACATCCATGATGAGAGAGAATCATTGATCGGCTGCCTCCTGCACACCCCACATTGGGGATTGAGCCTGCAACTTGGGGATGTGTCTTTGACTGGAATCGAACCTGGGACTCTTTGGTCCGCAGGCTGATGCTCTATTCATGAAGCCAAACTGGCTAGGGCAAGTTGTTGTCTCTTGACTGTCTGTATTAGAACTAAGGATTTTATAAATTATACTGTTTCCTGACTGATGTCCTCAGCTGTGTGAAGAAATCATAGGATCAATCTTTAACCATCCTCCTCCAGCTCCCTGCTTTCACAACATTTAAACTCTGCCATTATATATAATACGTAAGTAACCATGAGTGGTCATGTTCCAACAAAACTTTAATTATGGCCCTGGCTGGGGAGCTCAGTTGGTTAGAGCATCATCCTGATACACCAAGGTTATAGGTTCCATCCCTGACAGGGTACATAGAAGAATCTATACTAATAAAAGGGTAATATGCTAATTAGACTGGATAGACCGGATGTATTCCAGATGTCCTTCTGGACAAAGTCACAGTAGTGCAGCTGAGGCAGAGACGGTTAGGGGTGATCAGGCAGGCAGACAGGTGAACGGTTAGGAGCCAGTGGTCTCAGATTGTGAGAGGGATGTCCCGGATTGGAGAAGATGCAGGTTGGGCTGATAGGCATCCCCCCATGCATGAATTTCATGCACCAGGCCTCTAGTTAACCAATAAGTGCCTAAATAAGTGGAACAACAAATTGGTGTTTCTCTCTCTCTCTCTCTCAATCAATACTTATTTTTGAATATATATGTATATTTTTAATTTTAGAGAGAGAGAAAGGGAGGGGGGGAAAGAGAGAGAAAAACATTGATGTGGGAGAGAAACATTGATCCGTTGTCTCCTGTATCACCCCGACTGGGGTTTGACCCCACAACCTAGGTGTGTGCCCTGAATGGGAATCGAACCTGCAACCTTTTGGTGTACACTCCAACCCACTGAGCCTCCCGGCCAGGGCTAGACCACACATTTTTGACAAGAGAAATGGTTTTGGGATCTTTTCTGTGCATCTAGGCTGTAATAGAAAATGTGGCACCCAAGATGATTTAAGTATATTTGTTTAATCAATGAGAACATACAAACATTACTCTGCCATTGTCCCAATAACCCAGGAGGGTCCCAGGAATTGATGGGCAATTATGGTGGAGATTCTGGAACTGACTCGGTGATAATCTCCAGATTCAGGGGGTGCCGGGGCCCACTTTCTGGGTAATGTGGGTGGGTCCCCTCAGCCCACCTGACAGCCTCAGATTTAGAAGCAACAATGCCAGAGGAGGGACCTTGCAACTGGTAGCTCTGAGTCCTACTGTCCAGAGCACGGCTCATCTCAGGACGAGTGTGGCATACTCGCTGGCCTGGGTCAGCTTGGGCAGCAAGGAGGGGGCTGAAGCTGTCCCGTGGGTGGGGGCATTGAAGGTCACTTGGAAATAGGTGACATCCTGTGGGTCTCTAGCTTCAGAGGCCTGAGGGAGGAAGGGAGACTTTGATATGATGGTGTGATGTTGGGGACCAAAGGAATTGTTGTGGGGCAGAGTAGAGGAGGAAACACTTACCAGTCCGTTCATGGGTTCCACTTCCTGTGGCTGTCTCTTTGTCTCGGTGGCATCTGGAGGGAAGAGGGCATTGTTAGGGCTGCATATTTTACTTACAAACTTTTTTATCTTCACCTGAGGATATATTTTAAAAAATATATATTTTTATTGATTTCAGAGGTAATGAGAGAGAGGACAGAGAATCATCAATTGGCTGCCTCCTGCACTCCCCACACTGGGGATCAAGCCTGCAACCTGGGCATGTGCTCTGACCTGGAATTGAATGGTGACCTCCTGGTTCATAGGTCAACACTCAACCACTGAGCCACACCAGCCAGGTGAGGAGATATATATATATATATTTAGCCCTGCTGGTGCGGCTCCATGGTTGAGCCTTGACCCATAAACCAGGAGGTCACGGTTCAATCCCTAGTCAGGGCACATACAAGAAGCAACCAATGAATGCATAAATGAGTGGAACAGCCCTAGCCCGTTTTTCTCAGTGGTTAGAACGTTGGCCTATGGTTCAATTGCAGGTTCAATTCTGGTCAAGGGCATGTACCTCGGTTGCAGGCTTGATTCCCAGGTGGGGCCATGTGGGGAAGGCAACCAATCGATGTGTCTCTCTCACATAGATGTTTCTCTCTCTCTCTCTCTCTGTGTTTCCTCCCTCCCACTTTCTCTAAAAAAAATCAATGGAAAAAATATCCTCAGATGAGGATTAACAACAACAACAACAACAAAGTGGAACAACAAATCAATCTCTCTCTCAAAATCAATCAGTAAAGAAAGAGAAAGTTATCACCATCGCAGCTTGAGCCAGCAAACCATCCCCACTTCCATGCCTCTGGCTCCCTCACCCCCTTTCCTGCTCCCAGAAGATGCCTCCCCTGCTTTTCCTGTAGGATTTGTACCACAGGGGTCTCTGATCAGGCTTCCCTCCCTCTCTGAAGGACGTACTGTTTTTGGCTTTGCGATGGCGGTGGCGGAGGATGAAGAAAAGGAGGAGGAAGAGGAGGAGCAGGAGGACGATGGCCACTGGGAAGCCGATCAGAATACCAAGGTGGTTCTGGGTCTGGTTGTGGTCTGTGGCTGCAAAGAAGGAGACAGTGTTGGAGCAGCTTCCCTTCCTAAAGTACCTTCACAGAGGGCACTGGGGCCGGGTGCTCCCCCATACCCGAGCACAGTCCCGAATGGTCAACTCCTGTGAACCGTAATATAAACAGAGCCACTTAAAAATAGTCCAGCCTGCCCTGGCTGGTTTGGCTCAGTGGATAGAGCGTCGGCCTGAAGACTGAAGGGTCCCAGGTTTGATTCCAGTCAAGGGCACATGCCTAGGTTGCAGGCATGATCCCCAGTAGGGGTGGTGGTGCAGGAGGCAGCCAATCAATGATTCCCTCTCATCATTGATGTGTCTATCTCTCTCTCCCTCTCTGAAATCAATAAACGTATATTAAAAAAAATAGATCCAGCCTGGCTGGCATGACTCAGTGGTTGAGCATTGACCTATGAACCAGCTGGTTATGGTTCCATTCCCGGTTAGGGCATATGCCTGGGTTGCGGGTTCAATCCCCAGGGTGTGTGTGTGCAGGAGGCAGCCAATCTATGATTCTCTCTCGTCATTGATGTTTCTATCTCTCTCTCCCTCTCCCTTTCTCTCTGAAATCAATAAAACTATATAAAACCCCCAGCTCCCATGAACCAACCAAGATAAATTAAGAGTGTGAATGTCATGCTAAACAAGATAACTCAATCAAAAAAAGTTAAGAACCACATGCTTGCATTCATGTGTGGGATATAAAACTAAAAGCAGCCAACAAACAAACAATACAAACAAAACATTATAGACACAGTCAACAGAAGTTTAGTTGCTAGAGGGGCAGGGTAGTGGGGTCAAACACATGGAAGGAGGCTGGAGTCTGGGTGGTGGGCACACAGATGATGTGCTATGGAATTGCACATTTGAAACTCATGTTATTAACCAATGTCACTCCAATAAATTTAATAAAAACTTAAAAAGATTGTAAAGGTAGCAAAGTGAATGAGAGAGTTCACTTTAAAGAATTAAGAAGTGAGCTGCTAATAAATTAGCCTGGAGATTATTATGCTAAGTGAAATAAGCCATTTTTGTTTTTACCATAATAGATTGTTTTTGGATTGCATGCTTATGTTTCCCCTTAGGACTTCCTTCTCACTCCACTGCAATACCTGAATTATCTTCCCTACATTAGTTGCAACCTTTATGCTCAATAGTTCCACATCTGTATCTACAGTTCTCCATCCCTCTAATTCAAGACATATAAAGCCAACTCTTGAATGCGTGTAAGATGTTGTCTGGCCACCTCAGAAGCAACAAGTCCAAGACACAACTCTTGACCTTGCCCCACGCCACCTTTGAAAATGCACTTGTCCTTCTCTCTGTGAATGGTCCCGCAATACACGCATGTCATAGGCACTGATAGAGACTGTCATGGGCCTGCAGGCTCGTTTATACTAAATTCTACTCAACA